TCATCTCTTTTTGATTTTTCTTTCTTTTGTTTTGTCCACTTTTCTTTCTTTCTCATACAACAACAGGTTTGCTACTATCAATCTCCCCCTCAAACCTATGTTAAATCAAGAAAGAAATTAAAATAAAGTTTTACTATTCTCTGGTGGCGCCTTCACCCTATCAGTCTTGAAGGCTAACTGAGGCAGTGCACAGCCTCAGTTTGTCAACACTAACAACTTTGGTCAATATTTCTGACGGATTCTTTGATTCCGGCATCTTCTGCATGGGAAAGAGTATCTTCACTTATCAACTCTCGGATATGATGATACCTCAACTGGATATGCTTCGATCTTGCATGAAACACTGGATTCATGGCAAGATGAATTGCACTCTGCCTATCACTGAAAAGCTCACAATTGTCCGCTCTTTACCTAACTCTTTAAAAAAATTCTTGAGCCAAATTATCTCTTTTCCAGCTTCTGAGATTGCCATATACTCTGCTTCAATGGTAGATAGAGCAACACTTTTCTGAAGTCTAGACATCCAGCTAACAACAGTACCACCCAAGGTGAATATGTAGCATGTGGTACTTTTTCGACTATCCAGATCACCGCCTAAATTTGCAGCAGCAAAACCTTGTAAGATAATATTGCTCCTTTTAAAACAAAGTGCCATACCTGAGGTGCCTTTGAGATATCGCAATATCCATTTTACACCTTCCCAATGCTCCTTTCCTGGATTTGACATGTATCTACTGACAACTCCAACTGCATGGGCTATGTCAGGTCTAGTGTAAACCATAGCATACATCAAACTTCCTACTGCTGAATCATATGAAACTTTGGACATGTACTTCCTTTCTTCATCTGTCTTAGGTGATTGGTCTTTCGACAGATTAAGATGGCTTTCGAGTAGAGTGCTTCTGGTCTTTGCATCATGAAGACTGAACCTGCTTTGTACCTTATGTATGTACTTTTCTTGAGACAATTTTAAGGTTCCTTCAGACCTGTTTATGCTAATCCTCATCCCAAGCATTTGCTTAGCTGGTCCTAAGTCTTTCATTTCAAACTCCTCCGACAGTTGTTGCTTAACCCTGTTGCTCTCATTTATGCTAGATCCTGCAATTAGCATATCATCAACGTACAACAGTAAAATGATAGAGGATTTATCAAGATTTTTGATATAACAACAATGGTCCATCTCACATCATGTGAAACCATTATTATGCATGAATCCATCAAATTTCTTGTACCATTGTCGGGGTGCTTGTTTCAAACCATACATACTCTTCTGCAACTTACACACAAGGTTTTCTTTACCAAAAACTTGAAAATCGTCAGGTTGCTTCATGTAGATGTCTTCTTCAAGATCACCACACAAGAAAGCAGTTTTAAGATCTAGCTGCTCCAAATGCAAATTGTTTGCAGCTACGATACTTAGCACCAACTTGATAGTAGTTAATTTGACTACATGAGAGAAGATCTTGGTGTAGTCAATCCCTTCCTTCTGCTGAAAGCTTTTTACTACTAATCATGCTTTGTATCTCTTCTTACCATCATGCTCTTCCTTGATCCTGTACACCCACTTATTTTGCAATGCCTTCTTTCCTTTTGGTAACTCTGTAAGCATCCATGTTTTATTCTTTTGAAGCGAATTCATCTCTTCTTTCATGGCTAGCTTCCACTTATCAGAGCTTATCACCTGCATTGCTTCAACAAAATGCTCTGGTTCTCCAGCATCGGTCAGAAGTAAATAGTGGAGAGAGAGAGAGAGAGAGAGAGAGAGAGAGAGAGAGAGAGAGAGAGAGAGAGAGAGTTAACATATCTGGACCATTCATGACTCTTTTAGATCTCCTTAATATAGGTTCAGGATTAAGTGATCCCGAATTTGATTCAAGTCCTGACTCCAGATCTGGTTCTCCATCTGATTCTATCTTTGATTCTGGTTCTGATTCTGATTCTGATCCAGATTCGGCTTCTGATTCGGCATCTTCAATTTCAGATCCAGTTGTAGTCTCTCTAGCCACTTCATTTTCTGAAATTTCTTATAAGTCAACTGTTTTAAATATCTGTCTATTGGTGCTGGTTGGTTCTACTTCAAGCTTGTCTTTGTATATCACATTTTCATTAAATGTGACATTCATGTGTCTTAGAATATTTTTATTCTGATCATCCCAAAATCGATAATCAAAATTATCATCACCATAGATAATAAATAAATATTTCTTGGCCTTAGGATCAAGCTTATCTCTATCATTAGAGTTTACATGCACATAAGCAACACAACCAAAAAATTTCAGATATGAGAGAGTAACCTCCTTTCCTGTTCATACCTCCTCAGGAATTTCAAAATTCAGCGATACAGAGGGTCCTCTATTTATGAGGTACGCTGCCGTGTTTGTATGTGCTATCTTTTACTTCTGCATTTGATTGTTTTGATAAATTATAATTGAATTATTATTAGAATTTTCTAATTTCTTTCTCTCTTTTGATCCTTTGCTATTTTTTTTTAATATATGAAGGATACAGTTCTCCAACAACAGGAAATGAAGTCAACCACATACTAGGAGGAGTTTGAAGGCAAAGGAACAGTTTGGAGATCTTTTATGTTATTTTTTGGGTCATGTATATATACATAGAAAATGTATTATAATGTATATTAGAATACTTTATATTGTTTGACTTTTTAGCAATGAAAGGTTCTTATATATTTCTATTTCTCAGAACTGCTTTATTGACTACAAAGTAACTTTGTATTTTATGATAATTTTATTTGTCATTTATCATGATAATTTATAGTGACAATTTTATTTTGTCAGTAATAGCAATGTTTTTAGCGATGAGATGATAGTTTTAGCTACAAAATTGTAAGCCAATTTTATTAAAGCAAATTTGTCACTAATTTTTATATTTAGGGTCGAAATATCTTTTTGTATATAATAGGTAGTTTTTAGTGACGGAGTTAAATTTGTTCTACTACGAAATACATATAACTTTAGAGACAATTAATGTTGTCACTAATTAAACTAAATAGTTAGTGACAAGGTAGTTTCGTCGGTATTGATGACTTCTTTAGTGACGAAAACATACTATCAACTACAATTTTTTTATACTTTTTTTGACAAATAAGTTTGTCACAAATACTATACATTTGGGGACAAAAATCAATTTCGTAGTTAATATAACTTTATTTAGTGACGAATCACTAAGTTGTCTTTGTATACCTTTAGTGACGTGCATTTAAGGACGAATGATTGAAAAAAAAAAATTTCGTCAAAAAAAGTTTTTTATGACGAAATATGAATTTTAGGTGGCAAAATAATTTGTCATTGATAATCGAATTTGTTGTAGTGTAGCGTGCATTGTGAAGTCTTTATATGAACTTCACATTTCCTGACAATGTCCAGAGGTTCGCCGTCTGCTAGATAAACTTTCCCAAATTTTCCAGCAATATATTTATGCAATAATTCTTTGCATGATGTAGAGTGAAAGGAAGCACCTGAGTCGAGAATTCAAGATTCGACTGGACTATCTGCACAACAAATTAGTGCATCACTGATTTGTTCAACAATTGCATTTGCTGAATTATCATCCTTGTATTGATCGTTCTTCTTCTTCTTTGGCTCTCTACACTGACTGTTGTAGTGGCCCTTTTTATCGCAATTCCAACACATAATATCTTTGCGATTTTTGAATTGCCCTCTTCTCCTTGACTTTGATCTGCCACGACCATGACTTTGTCCTCTTTGGCTGTTTCTCCCCTGCTTTCGGTATTCAAAGAAGATCCTGGGGAATCACTTGATTCTCTCCGGCGAATATCTTCTCTTAGAACCAAGTCTCTAATATCATCTAATTTGAGTTTGATACTTCCCGATGAACTGCTAACTGCAGTTACTATTGCAGACCAACTCTCCGGTAGAGATGATAGTAAAATCAATGCCCTAACTTCGTTATCGAATGTTATTTTGATAGAACTCAACTGAGTTAATATTAATTAAATTCATTGATATGTTCCGTAACAGATCCACCTTCTGTCATCTTTAAGTTGAACAATCGACGCATCAAATAGACTTTATTTGAAGCAGATAGCTTCTCGTACATATTTGATAACGCCTTCATCAGGCCTGCAATGGTCTTCTCGTTAATGATATTAAATGCCACATTTCGTGTTAGCCTCAAACAAATCACACCAAGAGCTTGGCGATCTAATAGATCACAATCTGCTTTGGCCATATTCTCTGATTTTACCTCGGTCAGAGGTAAATGTAACTTTTTATGGTACAAATAATCCTCTATTTGCATTTTTCAGAGTCCAAAATATTTGCCATTGAACTTGTCAATATTAACCTTCTCTTCTTCCGATGCCATTTTTCACAAAAATAATTTATATGAATAGTGCCTGTGAATAGTAATGATGATCAATAATGCCGCACTATTCTTGAGAATAGTATCTGCACCGATACAATACTTTTTTATTAGAATTACACTATCTGTGCTCTAATACCAGTTGTTGGGAAACGTGTCAGGCTAATAGAAGGGAAACATATTTGAAAGAGAAAAGCAATAAATTGCACAAGACAAGACAAAATAAGATTTACGTAGTTCGACAATTTTACCTACTCCACGGCCACACAAAGAATAACTCTTTATTAATTGAAGAGAGAAAGAAAAAGGTAAGGGATGATTTGCAAATGAAAATGCATACCCCCTTTATAGGTATTTGAATGCCATGCCGAGGTAAGCGCTTATATCATAGGAATGCCGATGTAAGCGCTTACATCATACGAATGCCGATGTAAGCGCATATATCATAAGAATGTCGATGTAAGCGCTTACATCATACGAATGCCGATGTAAGCGCATATATCATAAGAATGTCGATGTAAGCGCTTACATCATAAGTTCATCTCTTTTTGATTTTTCTTTCTTTTGTTTTGTCGACTTTTCTTTCTTTCACATACAACAACAAGTTTGCTACTGTCATTTTACAATTTTCAATTCTCTAGGCGTATGTAGTTTGAGTGATAATTATATTTCTACTTGAGGTAAGCCAATAGCCAAAAGTTATTCCATGTGCTCTTTCCATACACTTTGTTGCATTCAGAATCAAACGAACAAACATAGCTGGATTCACACTGTACGGGGTCTCTATAGTTGAGCTATCCTTTAAGTTGATTTCTCCTTTTCTCAACTGTATTAGGTATTAATTAATGAAAAAAGAAAATAATCTTTTTAGTTCTCAAGTTATTATGCAATTTTATTTTTAGTCCCTATATTATTTTCGGTAGCAGTTTTAACCTTTATGCTCTTTTGGTCGAATGATAGAAGGAAGCTCCACCAAGAGAATTGACGTTAACTTCTGTATGAAGCTCAATTGTAGAAGGATGTCTTTTCTGAATTAATGGTTGCTTCGAGGGGCTTCATTTGATCTAGGTAATCTTTTTCCATCAACCATATTATTATTCAAAAAAGAACTGTAGAGAAATCTCCAAATACCTCTTCCAATAGTTTGGGTACTTGTTTGATAATTCAGATATTGGACCTGTACCTTTTGAGAGCTTGAGATTCGACAGTTGTTCCTTGTTAGTTCATTTTATGAGAATCAGAAGTTTTGCAGGAACTTCAAACAGTTAACCAATTTAGAATCTGGTAGTAATAATAAATATACTAGGGAAAAGAAAAACAAGATATTAAATAAAGCGAGAAGGTATTTTTGTGCAGATTTGAATGATTTTGACGCGCACTTGGAGGAGTAGAGTAACAATAGTGAGAAGATAGAAGAAAATCAGAAGGATAATGGCGTGGCTGGAAAAGTGGAATGAAGATACTTGTTTAAATGTTTGGTATCGTCGATTTACACCTTTTATTTTTCCTTCACCATGTTGCCTTACAGTTTGAAGAGTCAATTACTACGTTCTTCCTCTACCCCTTTTCCTATTTAAAAAAAGAATGGTGTTTCGTGTCTCAAGGTTTTCTGGAGAGGCTTTGTTAGGGAAGTTATCACTTTTCTAGCAAGGTGAAACTATAGAAATCTATAATTCTTTATTGATAAAGAGTATGAAGAGATAGTGGTCTGTGCTCTGGAATAAATTAAAGGGCTGCTGATTTTTACATTGATGGAAACTTGTTCTGCTTCTCTTTTTCCTACTGGTATTGGATATGAAGTTAAGATTTTATCCTGGAATTCGATTCATCAAAGGCACTTATTTTTCGTTAAATCTTTAGCTTAATGATGATAAACTTAATAGGAAAGAATGGGAAAAGTCTAAGAACGACTGCTCTACCATATAATTAATTATATGCAATTGTTGCTATCACTACTAGAAATTCGGTAAAAACCGACTAAAAAAATCGACCAACGTTGGTCGATAATAGCCAAAAACCGACCAAAACGTGACCATTTACGTGTGGACGGTATTTTTGTGGTCGGAAAGGAATACCGACCAAAGTTGGTCGGAAATTACCGACCAACTTTGGTCGGTCAATTAAATTCAAAAAAAAAATATTGCAAAACAAACCGACCAAAGTTGGTCGGTTTTTTCCGACCAAAGTTGGTCGGTATTTTAATTATGTAATAAAAAGATTCACCATCTGGGAATCGAACCGGGGTCTGTACTGTGGCAGGATACTATTCTACTACTAGACCATTGGTACATTTTGTTTTAAGATTGTCTTTTATTTGATTTATACTCTTTAATTGTATTTTCGCACGAAAATAACCGACCAAAGTTGGTCGGTTTTATTAAAAAGTAAAATTACCGACCAAAGTAGGTCGGTTTTTTTAAATGACCCGCCGAATTAACCGACCAATTTTGGTCGATTTTTTTAATATTTATTTTTATTTATTTTAATTGAAAAATCGACCAAAGTTGGTCGGTTTCTTGAAATATAAATTTCGCGGGACTCAAAAATAGTTTTCCGTATTTTTGCGCCAAAGAAAACCGACTAAAGTTGGTCGGTTTTTTGACCGACCAAAGTTGGTCGGTTTTTTGACCGACCAAAGTTGGTCGGTCGACCTTGGTCGGTTTTTGTCGAATTTTTAGTAGTGTATGTTCCTTCTCATTAGCCAGATTCAAGGGAAACTCTATAAATAGTTGATGTGGTTATGTTTCAATTTATGAAAGTAGCTGCTCCCCCTCTAGGTGAAATTTTTATTTGTTTGACATGCTCTAATATAAAAATCAAATTATAGTAGGCTGGTTTGTATCGCACTAATTTGCATGAGAAGGCAAAAGGGCAGCCAGGTGCACAAATTATCCTCATTTACGTAGGGTCAGGAGAAGGGTTGTACCCCAAGAAGTGTGATATAGACAGCTTACCCTAATACAAGCATTAGTGGGTATTTTTAAGTTTCGAACACATAATCTGTAGGTCACACAGAGACAATTTTACTTTTGGACGAATGATATGTTTAAATTTTAATTTGTTGTGCTCTAACCCATCTTTAAAAGTGGTCTTCCCTACTAAATGGAACATTTGAGATTTCTTAACAATGTCGGGCATTAGCCCGTGCACTGCACGGGCACACACCCATCTAGTAATAATAATAATAATAATAACTTTTGGAGCCTAAATATTTGCTAGCCCTAAGCAAGTGCTTCACTTGCTTGAGGATTTAGTGTGCCTTGCTTATTAACTTTTATATTTGGTGCTTTTATTTGTATCTAATACGTAATATATTTTAAATTTAATTTTAAGATAGGATGAAGATCACATAATGCATCTAAGAGTTGAGAAGTTTGACCGAGAGTTGATTTTGTTGTTAACGGGTTTAGATTTTGGTTTCGGAAGTTAGAATAGGTCGGTTGTGTCATTTATGTCTTGTGTGCAAAATTTCAGGCCAATCGGAGTTGGTTTGATACGTTTCGGCATCGATTGTGAAAGTTAGAAATCCATTAGTTTCATTAGGCTTGAATTGGGATGTGATTCGTGTTTTTTATGTTGTTTGATGTGATTTGAGGCATCGACTAAATTCGTATGATGCTTCGGAATGTGTTGCTATATTTGGATAGGGTCCCCCGGGCCTCGTGTCACGACCCAAATCTCAACATATCGTGATGGCGCCTATCAGAGTACTAGGCAAGCTGACAATCACAAATAACTACGTATTTCCAATTGAAAACATGATGTAATAAGTTTAACAGTGAAAAATCTCATAGATAACCGATAAGAATAATTGTGACTCAAATACGAATTCCCCAAAATTCGGGTGTTACCGAGTACATGAGCTACTTAATGTCAACATAGTTAAAACTTCTAATACAACTGTCTAGAAAGATAAAACAGTGCTAAATAAACTGAAAAGAAGGAGAGTCGAGGTCTGCGGATGCCATAGCAGCTACCTCAATAGTCTCCAAGCAGGTAATGCTCCAAGTCTCACAACCACCGGGTCCAGATGTACCTGGATCTGCACACGAAGTGCAGAGTATAGTATGAGTACAACTGACCCAATGTACTCAATAAGCAACAAGATTAACCTAGGGGTGAAAGTAGTGACGAGCTCAGAAAGGTACAGTCCAAATTCAGATAATAACAATACAGATAAAACAGGAAAAATGACAGTAATAACTTAATGAAATCCCATAATCAATTAGTACATAGTATAGAAATGTAGACATGTTTTCAAGTTTAACAATTTAAGCTCAACACTGAAAAAATATGCCAAGTATAATTGATATGAGGAATATTATATCTCTATGTCTACATGTCAATGTGCATGTCACATGTAATGCATGAAAGTGATAAACTCATGTACTCACACTCTTAGAGTACTCAATCTCACTCTCACACTCATCACTCATCATTCTCAATCACTCGGCAGTGTACGGTACCTGTGCTCATGCTGATATATCAGACTACGAAGGGACAGATCCTACCCAAGCGCTAATAAAACATGTCGTGGCGTGCAGCCTGATCCCATCATGAATAATAAAACCTACTGCGGCGTACAGCCCGATCACATCATGAATCAATAAAATGTGTTGCGGCGTGCAACCCGATTCCATAATGAATCAATAAAACCTATTACGGCGTGCAGCCAGATCTCATCATGAATCACTCACAATCCGGCCCTCAGGCCCCAACTCAGTCATCAATCTCTCCAGTCTCTCGGGTTCACAAATCTCATACCAAATCATCCCAAACAATGATAACATGATGTAATAGTAAATGATAACAGAGACTGAGATATGATATGCAAATGATGAATGCGAATGAGTACAAAGTGGCAATTTAAGCAAATAACTCAATAAAATAAATGACCTCAGTAGGTCCCAACAGAATAAGTACATAGCCTAAGCGTGATATCTAACATGGATCACAGCTCAATTACTCTAACACGTAGAAATTTCATGGATAGAAACAAGTTTAGATCACTTCACAATACCACAGAATCAACCGAGTCACAATTACCGTGGTGCACGCCCGTCACCTAGTATGTGTGTCACCTCAACACCAACCATATAACATGTAGTTCAGGGATTCATACCCTCAGTACTAAGTTTAGAGGTGTTACTTACCTCAAACCGCGCAAATTCCTACTCATACAAGCCCTTTCCTCGCGAATAGGCCTCCGAACAACTCGAATCTAACCACAATCAACTTAATACAATCAATACAAGCTATAGGAATTGATTCCATACGATAAAGCTAAGTTCTTTAACCAAAGTCAAAAAGTCAACACAAAAGGTTAACATCGGGACCACATCTCGAAACTTGACAAAATTTACAAAATTCGAATACTCATTCAACAACGAGTCCAACCATACAAAAATTATCAAATTTCGACCACAAATCGATACTCAAATCCCCAAATCTTACTCTCCAGTACATGAGTCTAAAATCCCCAAATTTTACCTCAAAAACACCCAATCTATGTGGGAAATTCAATGGGTATTCAATATTAATAGATAAAAATGATTAAATGTTGCTTACCTCTTGAAATCTAGTTAAAACCCTTCCAAAAATTCCCTCAATCCGAGTTCCCAAAGTCCAAAATTGAAGAAATTACTCTAACCCTCGCCTTTATGTATTTTGTCAGTTGTTCCGCTTCTACGGTCCAATTAACCGCTTCTGCGGTACTGCTCTTGCAGTTAAAAATCCGCATCCACAGAAAAACACAAGACCCCCGACCTGCTGCTTCTGCGGCCAAAAGCTTGCACCTGCGAGACTGGTCATGCAGCCCCGCGTCCCCATCTGCGCATCCAGGCCAAGCTCCCAAACTCCGCACCTGCAGACTCCTCATCGCAAAAGCGCTTTCGCTTCTACGGAACCTCATCCACTTCTGCGAGATTGCAGCCTTCACTCCAGTCCGCACTTGCGACCACACATCCGCATCTACGACCTCACATGTGCGGAAAATCCCTCGCACCTGTGCAACCATTCCAACTCGCCCAGAAACGCATCTGCGACCCCTTGGCCGCTTCTGCGGTGACACCAGATCTAAACATACCAGAAATTCACAAGTCCAAAATTTCTATCCGATTTCATTTCAAATCACACCCGAGGCCTCTGGGACCCCATCCAAATATACCAACCCATCCTAAAACATCATACAAACTTACTCAAGACCTCAAACCACATCATATAACATCAAAAACACAAATCACACTCCAATTCAACCCTATTGAAACTAATAGATTTCCAATTTCAACAATCGATGCCGAAACCTATGAAACCAACTCCTATTGACCTCAAATTTTGCACACAAGTCATAAATGACACAACGGACCTATTCTAACTTTCAGAACCAAAATTTGAGCCCAGTAATAACAAAGTCAACATTCAGTCAAACATCTCATCTCTCCAAACTTCAACTTTTCTAACTTTCACCAATTCAAGCCAAAATTATCTACGGACCTCCTAATCAATATCCGGACATACTCCTAAGTCCAAAATTACCATAGGGAGCTATCAGAATCATCAAAACTTCATTCCAGAGTCATTTAAACACAAGTCAACATCTACTATACTCTTTCAACTTAGGTTTCCAACCTTAGGACTAAGTGTCCCAATTCATTCCGGAACATCCCCAGAACCAAACCAACCACCCCGGCAAGTCACATAACAAAAAATAAACATAGAATAAGCAATAAGTGGAGGAATGGGGCTGCAAT